GAGCTTATTCACTTACTATGGAATAGGATAAAATTTTCTGTTTACAAGATGCAGCACTTTGCTACACCGACTAAATAAACATTTCTCGTCACTACGACGAGGATAATCCAGAAAAGACAGAATATTTTAGTACCAACGTACCAGTGGTCTAAAGAATTTACTCTTTGAACTAGACCAATGTGGTCGTATATCGCACAAACGCGGCTGATGCAATTTTGAAAAACTAACCATTATCAATTTTGAAGCCAATTCTTAGATGATCTCGCATTGAGTATTGTATCTATCTGGAAAGGCTTCTCATCATCGCAAGCGACTCTACTGCTGAGCCATAGTAAACAACAAAGAATATTTGTTATGAATTATAATAGTTTAATTCCAGCAACACCTTTTCAATGAAGAAATAGAGAACGAAGTGACTGCCATCTATTTGGTGTAACCACATGAATTCCAGTGTTTTTTACAGTTTCATAAAAACATGAACTCACTGGTCAAGAAGAGCGTGCTCATCCAAATGGTCCCCATCAGTAGCAGCCGGACCTTCTCCTAGTAGATCAAGCTCAGCCTGATCTAATTCAGTCATTTGAAAATCTGAAGTTGGGTCTATAAGTACGGAAACCAACATGATGACAATGGCGAACAAAACGAGTTATACGACTGAAATGTTGGAAGCTAGAAGATTCAGACGAGAAAGTTTTGAAAGAAAGCATAAGATAAGTCGGACCTGACGCACAAAAACCTCGATTTCAAAGAATTCCACGGAATTTATAATGTTAATACGTGAATCAAAGTAAGAACAGCAAGGCTGTCGAGCCACTACACATAAATCAAATTAGTAAAGGTTTGGAATTAATCGGCAAAGATCTCTACGATTCTTGAAGAAACGCGCAACGAGGATTTATTTCGGAGTCCCCCTGCGTCTCTACGAAACGTCATACGCAGAGAAACCAGCGCGCGCGCTGGAGACGGGCATTTGGAGAGAGTACAGACGGATGGACGCTTCCTCACACTTGGCGCGGGAATCTTGCTGAGGTCGAATTTCGTCAACTTTATGGAGGTAAGATGTTATATGCCTCTAAGGTCGTAGCTACCGTCGGATACTCAATAGGTTGAATCTATCCGACTACAAGAGTGAACCTCAATTTCAGTTCATTTGGCAAATTCTC